AGCTTTCTAGCATCTCAGAACCCCGAGTTATAAATTTGCGCGGGAAAAATTTTGGGGGGTCCGTACCACGCCTACCCAGGGGCTGGATTTGAGCCCACTAATAGCCGCTTGGGCGGGGAACATTATCCCAAGTTTTCAGCCCTCTAGCTTCTCAGATCCCCGAGTTATGAAATTACCCGAAGGCTTGGGCAGGGAACATTACCCCAAAATTTCAGCCTTCTAGCTTCTCAGATCCCCGAGTTATGAAGTTCTTGGGCGGGGAACACTACCCCAAAATTTCAGCCTTCTAGCTTCTCAGATCCCCGAGTTATGAACTGACCCAAAAAAACTTTGGGGGGCCCGTACGCGGGTCCCACGCGGGTTTTGGCGCCAATTTTGGGGATGGGAGCCCGTACGTGCATGTAGATTATTCCCCCAAAGTTTCAGCCCCGTAGCTTTTGCCGGTCTTGAGATGAAAATTCGGTACAGACGAACACACAGACACACACACCCACAGACAACCACTCGTCAATATGCTTTTTCTGCATTGCATAGCTGCAAAAAACGCATAAAAAGTGGAACTTTTGATGTTCGTACTTTTGCGAATACTGCACAAATGCGTCTAATCGTTTTGATCCAAACGACAGTTCCTCAACAAATGCGTTGTATGCAGTCTGCTTAGAAGCACAGAAACTCTCAAGTGCTGCAGTCAAATGCACTGATAGTGGATTGATCAGGCGCGGTCGCGGCATTAGTGGCTGTTTAGACATCAGTGCCTGGAATTGAAAAATAATTCAGTCACAATGAAATCGGAATAATGCCCCGGGCATTCGTTGCCCCTAAGGTAGGTCCAAATCTGCAAAATGAAAGGAAATTTTGTTCACCTAGCTGTACAAAATAAACAAGCTTCCCTAAGACAATTTCAAAGTCACAACTGAAACTGTGCTAAGATCGGGCAAAAAAGGCCAGCATACAAGAAAACGCACAAAATTCGATTAAAATCAAGAAGTCTTCATTGCTTATAGATGAGATGATCCCGTTGCAACAGACAGGGCACAGCTCGTGCGCAGATTTCAGGCGACAATGCTGCTGTCACTGTTATTAAATATTACTAGCAAAAATTTAAAATCTTTTTTTTTTTCAAATTCTTTCGAGACAAAACTTACAATCTGATACTTAATAGCAAGCAGTACATCCCAAACGATCCATGGAAAAGAGCGAAATTTGCAGCGAGATCGAAATGCACTGGCATAAGACACAGCATACCAGGCTTTCGCCTTTGTGATTAGTGCTGTATTCCAGCGAACTCTCCTCCTTCCAAACATATCAATTATTATATAATCTTTTTCTTTGCCAAATTCCTAAAAAGCCAAAAAGCTGCACTACTGAAATCAACAGACAAAACGGCAAATGAAGGGGACTCCAGCGGAATGGCAAGCGCAAATATCCACTCAAAAAAGACTTAGTTCCTCAGATCAACCGTATTATTCTATAATAAATGTTCTTCAAAGCACATTGTATTCTTACCAGTTGCTAACAGTGACATTTTATGCAGCCCTATTTTCATTGTCCCATATCTTTTTACTATTAATGCAACTGGCAACTTTTTCATTCTTATCAAACCTGTGTTTTCTTAACTAATGCAAATCATCGCAGACAATCAATCGCAGTAACAGCAGCATTTCCAGTGCTTCCTTAACATTATTTTAGCACCACCTAACAGGCCGTTTTGTATTTTCACTAAAAGACGAGATGATAGGAAAAAAAGCATTTGAAAAAAAAATAGGCCGAGTTCGACTAGTACACATTTACAACCCTAACTGAGGAAAACTCTACATGACAAGGTGAATGAATAGCAACGCGCATCAAACTAGCCGGTGCGATCATGCGCTTTGCGCAATTCAGCCCATCGAACAACTGCCTTTTAATGATCTTCACTGCTTTGGTCTGTGCAAAAATAGTTGAAACGTTCAAAAATAGTTAAAAATTTCACGCAACGGCGCAAGAAAGCTGAATTTGAAACTTTGAAGAATGAATACCTTTCCGTGATCCCCGAAATGATAGTTTACCCGCCGAAATTTTCACAAGGTCGTAAGTGACACCCGAGAGCGTGGGAATACTGGATTTGATATGTAAGAGCGTACGTGAGAGAAGGGTCATTACTCTAAAATTTCAACTTTGTAGACTTTGTGGTTCCCGAGATAATAACTTACCCGCAAAAAATTTTCACAGGGCAGCAAGTCATACCCGAGAGTGCTGGAACGCTGAATTTAAATTTGCAAAGTCGCACGTGGGCGAAGGGTCATTACCCTAAAATTTCAGCTTCCTAGGCTCCGTGTTTCCCGAGATAATAATTTACCCGGAAAAAATTTTCATGGGGACGTACATGTTACCCGTGGGCCGGTGTAAGCTGAATTTAAATTTTCTAGGTAGCATATGGGCGAGAGGGGGGGGGGGCATGTCCACGATTTCCGCCTTCCAGCTTCCATAGTTTCCATAGTTCCCGAGATACTGATTTTACCGAAAAACTTTTATGAGGCCGTATATATTACCGCGGGTATGGGAAGGCTGAATTTAAATTTGTCGCGTAACATGTTGGCGAAG